CACACACTGCTGAGCGTTGACATATCAAATTTAAATCATTTGTTATTTTCTGGTTTATAGAGCATGTGTTCTCATTGGACTTATAATTTGTTATCTAGTGTATTACCAAGAAACCTTTTGTTACCTAAATCAAGCTTCATATTTTTTTCTTGAAAAAGATTAATAATTTCATTTGCAAAGATAACATTGTGATCAGTGATTTGTTGTCTATCTATATACTGCTCTGCTAAATGACAACAGCTTCAAGATATATTGCAATTTACATAGCTTAAGCCCAGTAACTGTGTGTCATATGTAAGTTATGTCTAGGAAATATGAATGTATTGTATGCTCAAAAATTTCATTTTGATATAATCTACAATTATTTTTACATTTTCAGAATTATTTTCCCTGTTCAAGATAATATGTTGTTGGCCTTATCCACTTGCTAATAAAAAAAAGATGTTGGTCTTATCTGAATGTTCTACCGAATATCTATTCTTCAGGGACCCTGAACTCATGCGAAGAATTGGTGATGCTACTGCTCTTGAAGTCAGAGCTACAGGGATTCCTTATGTATTTGCTCCTTGCATCGCTGTAGGTGATACAATCAGATTGATGATTGACTTTCTAATTAATCTTCTCACAATTAATGACATTTTTCACTTTAAATTGTAAATCAAGTTTTTGTTTAAAGTTTAAACCTTTGTGGGCAGGTTTGCAGAGATCCTAGGTGGGGTCGCTGTTATGAAAGTTATAGTGAAGATCCCAAGATTGTTCAAGAAATGACAGATATTATAATTGGGTTACAAGGCGAGATTCCTAATGGTTCAAGGAAGGGCATACCTTATATTGCTGGAAAGTATGGAAACTTTGAAAGCAATTCCATGCTTATATTTTAATATGCTGTTCTTTGAAAGTTAGAACAATATTTACAGTTGTTTTCCTCATCGTTGTGCAAAGAACTGTCAAATCTAAGTTTAAGTAATGAGAACCTTGACTGCTCTTTAGTTGCTTGTTATCATTAGAGCACAATGAAGTCCAATATGAGATGCTTTTATGCTAATGCTGTTTTCCCCTTTTTTGCCCCTGTTTTGTAGTTAATATCAATTTTTTGATGAGCCTTTTATGAATCAGTTATAGATCTTATATTTACATTTTGATAATGGTGGTTCTTGTGTAATTAAATTCTATGTTTTGCTTGTAAAAGGATTCCCTGTGCATAAACCTCTAACTCATTCAATTTTCAGGAAAAAGGTGGCTGCTTGTGCAAAGCACTTTGTTGGTGATGGGGGCACAACTAAGGGTGTTAATGAGAATAACACTGTGACTGACAAGCATGAGTTGCTGAGTATCCACATGCCCGCCTATGACGACTCAATTATCAAAGGCGTTGCTACGGTTATGGCTTCTTATTCTAGCTGGAATGGCAGAAAGATGCATGCTGACCATGATTTAGTTACTGGTTTTCTCAAAGGTACACTCAAGTTCAAGGTAATGTTCTAAAAAAATGATATGAAAGATTAGATAAGCCTCAGTGGTCAATTCGGAAGCTTGGTTAAAGGCAGCTAGTTACTATGCGCATGGGAATTACAGAACTGTGGAATTAACATCCTCCGAAATATATTTTTGATATTTCATGTGTTTGTATCATGCCAACTTGTTTTATCACTTATTGTTTCTCATGAAGCATTAATTCATAATTTGGAGGTGATTTCACTGATTGATGTTGATAATCTACCAGGGTTTTGTCATCTCAGATTGGCAGGGCATTGACAGACTTACTTCTCCACCTCATGCCAACTACACTTATTCAGTTGAGACTAGCATTCTAGCTGGTGTCGACATGGTAAGATTTCCCCCCCTACACCAGTGTCAACATTCAACTAATTCAGATGCTTTGTGTTTGGGAAATGTTTTGGTGTTCAAGCTAAATCAGGAAATGTCAAATTGGTCATTTGCAGGTTATGGTCCCATATAATTTTACCGAGTTTATCAATGATCTGACTTACCTCGTCAAGAACAATTTTATCCCAACAGATCGGATTGATGATGCAGTGGAGAGGATTTTGTCAGTTAAATTTACCATGGGACTTTTTGAGAACCCCTACACTGATTTCAGCTTGATCAACGAGGTTGGGAGCCAGGTAGGTCACTAAAACATGATACTTTACACTTCAAGCCTCAGTTACAATGTTAGTGCATGCATTGTATATGGCATTGTTTAGTTGTTTGTTTTGGGTTAATCCTTGCCCCTGCTTGAAGGATATGTACTAGATATTGTGATCTCAAGACCCTTACCACTTAACTACCATTTGGGGCCTATGCTGTAGTTTGAGATGTATCGTTTTGTACTGTTTGAATTGTGAAATTCAGCTTTTGTGGTTATAATAATCCCTGGTTTCCATTCAGGAACACAGGAACTTAGCAAGAGAAGCTGTGCGGAAATCTCTTGTGCTGCTGAAGAATGGGAAAACTGCTAATAACCCATTGTTACCTCTTCCTAAGAAAGTGTCTAGAATTTTGGTTGCTGGTGGCCATGCTGATAACTTAGGTTATCAATGTGGCGGATGGACTATTACTTGGCAGGGGTTTAGTGGTAATGATGCTACAAGTGGTATGTTTTTTCTTCTGATGCGATTCACAAGACCTCTAATACTACATTTAATGACTAATGTTAATCTCCCCCACCAGCCATCCTAACAAGATTACAGGGGGGAAAGGAGAATGAGAATAGAAATTTCTCTAAGAAAATATACTTGAACTGTACACAAATCATTTTGAAAATGTTATAAACTCAAATATATTTAGTTCTATATAGGAAACTGCAGCAGGCAAAATAACTAATGTTGTAATGCATAGATAACCATTTGCTATTTTCAGTTGGCTAGCATTGAAAGTTGACTGAACAGAGTGAACGCCATTTACAGGAACTACCATCCTCGGTGCAATAAAGTCTGCAGTTGATCCAGGAACAGAAGTCATCTATTTTGAGAATCCTGACAGCAAGTATGCTACTTCTAGTCGCTTTGACTATGCTATTGTGGTTGTCGGTGAGCACCCTTATGCTGAGAGTGCAGGAGACAGTCCTACTCTCACAGTGGCAGATCCTGGACCTGATGTCATTAACAATGTTTGCCAATCTGTGAAGTGTGTTGTCATAGTCATATCTGGTCGACCACTCGTTCTTGAGCCATTTCTACCTTCAATTGATGCACTTGTAGCAGCCTGGTTACCAGGAACTGAAGGACAAGGTATCACTGATCTTCTCTTTGGGGACTACGGATTTACTGGAAAACTTCCAAGAACATGGTTCAGAACTGTAGATCAACTTCCAATGAACGTTGGTGACCCTCACTATGATCCATTGTTTCCCTTTGGATTTGGACTCACAACATCTAAGTCAACAATAGCAAGGTAAATATCAATCATTCAGTCCAGATACTTAACTTAAATAAAATTTCTAGCCTTCCAATAATTTTACTCAGTTACGTATATTTGATTCCTTCATCCCTAGTTACTTCCCTATTTCACATTGATGCCACTAAAACTGTTTTCATATTGCTCAGGCATAATGTTTAACTGCACATGAAAGTAATCATGTCTATACCAAATGTTGTTTCCTATCTGCTGCTTCTTTATTATCAACATGATCCAGAATTGTATCACTAGATACTGATTCCTATAGATTTATTTTAGTGCTGCTGAAGTTTATTTTGACATAGTCATTGATCAGTATAATGTTTGTAATAATCTCTTTGTTGATAATTCAATTTGGTGCCATCTTGCACAGGTCTGTATCGGCGGGTGCTGCTGATGAAAGGCCATATGTTCTTGGGATTATGGTTTCTGTAATTATTGGTTTGTATATCCAATGTTTTGTATTAACTTGAAACAACAAATTGTTAGAAACTGGAGGAGTAGAAAGACTTGACATTTATGTAGTAACTCTATTTTTTGTAGTAGGAAGACTTTAAATATTTCTCCCTGTCTTAACTCTTAAACATGCAGAATTATGTGTTGTGATATCTAAGACAGAGTTTATAAATTATATATAAAATAATTTATAAATTATATATATATAATGCCAATATACAGAGTTTAATACTAAAATCAAATATTGACATTATCACGGCCTAATTTTTAGTTGTGGTTTCGGTGGATGGGTTACTTAAGGTGTGATATCTTTTTCTTTTTTTTGGTTTCTCACTCGGTGTGTCCGGAGCTCACATTGAAGCTTCGACTAAATCCGGATCGCGCTCTATAGGGCCCATTCGGGTGTGACGCTCCCAACATGATTTTCTCCATACCCAAGGCTCGAACCCGAGACCTCTGATTGAGGGTGAAACACTCCCACCAGTGTATCACAACCCATATTGGTGAGGTGTGATATCTAAGACAGAGTGCCTTCGATTTAAGTTTTAGGAGTAACTTGCATTCAAAGATTCCATAGTCCATAAGATTTTGCATTTCAAATCAAGTATCACATTTTGCTATGTTTTTTTTTTTCAACGTGGGAGTCGAGATATGTTTTGTCAAGAGTGATTTTTGTTTTAACAAGCACACGTCTTCCCACATACACTACAAATGGGATGCAAAAGGTAGACTATCATTTAACACTTCTTGACACTTTTCACGAAAGAGTCTCTTTCGTTAATAACTCATCACATAGATAAGCGAGCAACGAAAATAGGTCAGAGACATACAAAGAGGGAGAGGGAAGTACCCTCCCATGCTCCCCAATATTAAATAAATTTATGAGTCAGGATGCATTGTAGATTTTGAATCTATTTGCATGTTCACCTATAAAAATCTTGTTACAATTTTTTTCTTCCCCTTAATGATGAAGTTTAATGAACTTCTTGTGTCATTGTGGACAGCGAATCACCCATGTATCGATGATTTTCAACTATTTCACTAAATTATTTAATCCATAAGAATGATACAAAAGAGCTACCGACTCACATTTACTAGTAAGTGAACAATATTTTTTTTTATATATATTAGTAATATAATTTTTTTCTTGAGGAGATAATAAAACACAAGGCATAATAAAGATGATAATAACCTAAATTTGGTCGAAGCGGAACACGTACAACAGTCTTCTCTTCTTCAACAAGTTCTTGTTTTCTCTCTCTGTATCTGAAGTAGCTACTGTCTTACTGTATCCCATGTAAGTAAATCTGTGCAACTCTACATTACACTGCTATACATGTATATTTACAATTAAATTTCTAGGGTTTCTAGGTATCTTGGGTTTCTTCCGTTTTGGTTCCAAAAATATTGTACTTGTTCACGGATACACTCAATTCTTTGTTTATAACGTTGTCCTGCTTGGTAATTCGAGAGATTGTTGGTTAATTTTTGATGGGTCACTGTTTTCTTGAGATGTTTTTTGCTTAAATTTTTATGGGTCACTGTTTTCTTGAGATGTTTTATGCATAATTTTTTATGGGTCACTGTTTTCTTGAGATGTTTTTTGCTTAATTTTTTATGATTCACTGTCTTCTTGAGATGTTTTTTGCTTAATTTTTGATGAGTCACTGGTTCCTTGAGATGTTTTTGCTTTCTCTCTAATTGCTATTGCATCAACACTTTTGCTTTCTCTCTAATTGCTATTGCATTATGTGTTAATGTTCTAATTCTCATGTCGACTGTTATGATTTTGGGAGTTATTGAACTGTTTGGGGGTGGTTTAGCTAGGGTTTAATCCCTTTTTGATATTGGGATTTTATGGCAGTGATTATAACTCTTTTTCAATTAGTATTTTTTTGTGTTAGTGTTCTAATTCCTATTTTTGCCCGGCTTACATTCGGTAATATCTGAACTAGCTCGTTTCTCTGGTCTACATGTATGGAATTTGTGATTGGGTTTTGTTGTGACAATGTTGAAGTTCTATTGGTTTGAATTACTGTTGCATTGTGAAAAATGTTTTCTAATTGTCATTTATGCTCAGTTTTATTTTATGGTATTGCTGAAACTGGGTCATGGTGCCTGTCTTTTTGTACTAGTTTTCTGATGGGTTTTTCCTGTACTCTAAGGGGTCATTTGGTATGAGGGATAAAGATTCATTTTACCCTGCGTTTGGTTAGGTATTTTTTCCAAGACAATCCTTATTTGCTCTCACCCTGGTGAACTATGGAATTTCTTTTACAGTTTAAGAACAATGTTTTCTGGAAGAGGAACCATTTTTCCTTACATAGTTGAAAAATGATTTCCTAGTTTAGTTGTTGCTGCTTAAAATGAAGTCCTATTTTTTGCTGCTATTGTATTAAGAAGTTAACTTTTATGAGCTTTTTTGGGTGGCAATGGTTAGCAAAAGTAAGATTAGTATTAGTTTTGGTGCTGCTGACTAAAATCGTTAAGTAATGAACTTATCTAGAAAAAAGATTGTTGGGTAATGAACTTTTTAATTTTTAATGTGGAACCTTTGTATATGTGTGGACTCACTCCTTGATAATATTATCTACATATATATTTTGCAGTAAAGAGATCATGGATGAACTTGATCTTATCAAACAAGAGACTATGGATGAACTTGATGAAAGCCTTAATCAACATGAGAATGAGGTAGTACCAGAGGACTTACTCCTTGAGGTGAAAGAAGAACCATCACTCCTTGAGGTGAACCTAGAGCAAGAGCAAGAGCAAGGGCAAGAGCAAGAGCAAGAGCAAGAGCAAGAGCAAGAGCAAGAGCAAGAGCAAGAGCAAGAGCAAGAGCAAGAGCAAGAGCAAGAGCAAGACCAAGACCAAGAGCAAGAGCAAGACCAAGAGCAAGAGCAAGACCAAGACCAAGAGCAAGAGCAAGACCAAGAGCAAGAGCAAGACCAAGACCAAGAGCAAGAGCAAGACCAAGAGCAAGAGCAAGACCAAGACCAAGAGCAAGAGCAAGACCAAGAGCAAGAGCAAGACCAAGACCAAGAGCAAGAGCAAGACCAAGAGCAAGAGCAAGACCAAGACCAAGAGCAAGAGCAAGACCAAGAGCAAGAGCAAGACCAAGACCAAGAGCAAGAGCAAGACCAAGAGCAAGAGCAAGACCAAGACCAAGAGCAAGAGCAAGACCAAGAGCAAGAGCAAGACCAAGACCAAGAGCAAGAGCAAGACCAAGAGCAAGAGCAAGACCAAGACCAAGAGCAAGAGCAAGACCAAGAGCAAGAGCAAGACCAAGACCAAGAGCAAGAGCAAGACCAAGACCAAGAGCAAGAGCAAGACCAAGACCAAGAGCAAGAGCAAGACCAAGACCAAGAGCAAGAGCAAGACCAAGACCAAGAGCAAGAGCAAGACCAAGACCAAGAGCAAGAGCAAGACCAAGACCAAGAGCAAGAGCAAGACCAAGACCAAGAGCAAGAGCAAGACCAAGACCAAGAGCAAGAGCAAGACCAAGACCAAGAGCAAGAGCAAGACCAAGACCAAGAGCAAGAGCAAGACCAAGACCAAGAGCAAGAGCAAGACCAAGACCAAGAGCAAGAGCAAGACCAAGACCAAGAGCAAGAGCAAGACCAAGACCAAGAGCAAGAGCAAGACCAAGACCAAGAGCAAGAGCAAGAGCAAGAGCAAGAGCAAGAGCAAGACCAAGACCAAGAGCAAGAGCAAGACCAAGAGCAAGAGCAAGACCAAGACCAAGACCAAGACCAGGATCAAGAACAGGAACAAGTGCAGAAACAAAAACAAGAACAAGGTGTTGCTGCTACTGGAGGTGGTGGCGAAAGGTGGCCAGGGTGGCCTGGGGAAAGTGTATTTCGTATATTGGTCCCTTCACAAAAAGTAGGAAGCCTTATTGGACGCAAAGGAGAGTACATCAAAAAGATTGTTGAAGAATCAAAAGCTCGTATTAAGGTTCTCGATGGTCCTCCAGGGATTACTGAGAGAGCAGTAAGTCCCACCTATTTTACATATTCTTGTAGACAAGATACCTCTCAAAATCCACTGCGTTTTGTTCTGTGACTTTTGTTGCCTTGCTTTATAATCCATGTTTTTCCTTTTCTACCTAAAAAACTTTGTATTGTTCCCCACCTCCAATTTTTTTTTAAAAATAGAATGGGAAAAATACACTTCCAGAACAGATAAAAAGACTGGTTCAAAGGGTTCTGAAAAGTTTTCTCTTGCTGTTATTTGTCTTCCTTCCCATCTTGTTCCCTTCCTCTCTTGTCGTTGTCAAGGTATGATACTTCCTGGTGAAATTAACTTTGGATGGATGTGAACCTGTCTAACTAATATTTCCCTATCAATGCTGCTTGTGTAGTTGGTCACCGTTTGTAAGTATCTATAAGTTGAGTTGTAAAATAGGTGACTGCTATTGGGTTTGAGAGTGAAATGGGGACATTTAGTAGTTGATGGAAAGTGAAGCGAGAAGGTTGTAATGTCTGTTTCAATCAGTCACTAAGATGTAGGTATTGAGATTGCTGCCATGTGGCTATTCTTTAGTAGCAATTAACACTGAATTTGTGGTCATGAGCCAGCTTTGAAATTGAGTGTTGATAAAGAAGTAAACACTGACAGGTTCTCTGGAATGTTTGACTCACTTATGGAAGTGCATTTTGTAATCTTAGTCACAATTATCAAGAATAATAAATAAAAAGCTTGATTGTCTGAAAAGGGAAACAATCTGGGACGACCCAACATAGAAGTAAGGCAGATGATTTCCTTCTCATAAAAAGAAGTAAGGCAGATGATTTGGCACATGAATATTCAACATAAAAGCACATCATCTAGACCCAAAGGCCCCCATGATGGACTAGTGGCTCCTAACATGTTCCAGTCTTTTAAAACACTTTTTAACTATGTGCATCTTCTATTAATAAGAATTTTATATTAGTCCTTTACCTTTCTTAGAGTATGGTCTATATAATGAAAAGAGAATATACTCTGTGTCTATATATATATCTATGTATATAAAATAATGAAGAGAACATACTTTATATGGATGTATATATATCAGTAATGGAAGAGAATACTCATTCTTCAAATTCATAATGGGGAAGCTTGTATTGCTGCAGTTAAGTTTTAAAAAAATTTAATCTAGGTATGGTTAAGTTATTTATTAATTGTATTGTGGTTTGCTGTGATGCTGAAGGTAATGGTATCTGCCAGGGAGGAGCCTGAATCCTCTCTTCCACCTGCTATAGATGGTCTTCTGAGGGTCCATAGACGTGTTGTGGATGGGCTGGAGAATGATTCTTCTCATCCTCCTCCAACTGTAGCTGGAAAGGTCTCGACAAAGCTGCTTGTGCCAGCTTCACAGGCTGGAAGTCTTATTGGAAAACAAGGGACAACCGTCAAGTCCATTCAAGAAGCATCCAGTTGTATTGTTAGAGTTCTCGGAACAGGTTCTTTCCTTTCCTTTTTAGATATCTCTGTTATTCAACTTAGTAACAAGGATTTTACCATTCCAGCCCATGTACGAGGGACATTTCTTCCGCTTTTCATTTCTTCTTTTTTGTTCCGGACTCTGATATCAATTAGTCATTTTCAACAGGTGATCTGAGCTGTGACTATTGACTATTACTCCCTGCGATTTCCTTGATAATTAAGTGTGTTGATTGTGCTTCTTTGTGTAGCAGAAGTTACTTTAGTATTTCATATAATAAGGAATCGAACCGGTAATCATTTAAGGATGAAAACAATAACAGTTTGAAGTATTTATTCAAAACAATAATAGCAAGAATTTGAAGTTCTATTGATGCTAGTGTTTCAAACATCTAAAGAAAAGAACTAAAGGTACTAGAAGGGTGTTCTCCAAACTTTCCTTTAATGAATTTGTATCAAATCTTTTTTTTTTAAGAAGAATTATTTTAAAAATATTATCGATTTCATTCTACTAGAAATAGCATGTTTAATACGTCATAGTTTGTTACACTTGAATTGAATCAGGCTTATACAAGTTGCTCTCATGTAAATTGTAAATGTCGCATCCAGATGCTGTGTATCTTGTATTAAGTAGTAAACCAAGAGCAGAAGTTTAGGAGTTTTTTGGGTCAAAGTTAGAATTTGCTACTATTAATTGAGCCTTGATTTGATCCAAACTAGTTGGGATTGACTATATTAATTTTTTTTGGCGACATACATAAATGACCCCTTGAAATTGTTTTCAACTACCAGATAGACACCCCAACTAATCCAGTGACCAACTAGACCTCTGGTCCCGCAAAATTGTGCTTCATAAACACCCAATGCTGGCAGGATTCAAGTGTGAATTACAAATGTGCTAAAGCAGTTTAAGTGCTCCATAATTTGGCTACACGTTGTATCTGAGTGGTTCAAATGAAAATTAAAATAACTCCCCTCCAATAATATTTAATAAATAAATAAAAATTAAAAAAATAATCATTTTCCATGTTCATCTAACCCATGAATTAACCCCTTAACCATTCTTTGGTCCCCTCCCCTTTCCCTGTTGGTTTCTCCTCCCCTTTTGCTTCTACTCCCTCCGTTCTCTTTGTTTTTTTTGAGAAAGGTAACATTCGTATGTATTGACAAAAACCAGTACATGGGTTGTACTGAGAACCATAATTACAACTTATCGACAAAACAAGATATTTGAATCTAAATTCTAAATAGAGCCAAGGATCTCAATAACTGACTCAGTATCCTCTAAGTACATTTGTTTACACCAGAAACAAAAAAGTTTGATACAATTCAATTTGATCTTCTGAAGATCACAACTTTTGCTCTCAAAACATCTAGCATTTCTCTCTCCAGACTGTCCACCAGATACAGGCTAGATACAGGCTGGGACAATCCTCCATCCATCTCTGTATGAAGCTCCCCCACCTACCTCATCCCAACTGTAGAGGAGGTGGGTGATTCTGTTAGGCATAGTCCAAACAACAACCCCTGAAGCTGATAAAAATCCTCCAAAGGTGTGCATCGGTTGGTTCGGTTCGGTTTTATGTATTATTGGTTTGGTTTATCGGTTTTCTATTTTTAAATATGTTAAACCAATAACCAAATCAATAAGATATTTTTTATCGGTTTTGATCCTTAACGATTCGGTTTTCGGTTTAACCAATAAGAAAATATTTATAAAACAAATATACGACTTTTCTAATAAATTTGATGCGAAAACACAATAATGCAACTTTACAAATGCTCATAAAATAGAAACAACAATAACAAAGATGAAAAGAACTATACAAGCGAAACACAGAGAAATTAAGAATATGGTTCTTACTTCAAATTTTAACATTTTTTATGATGTGAAATTGTGAACTCAAAGTGATTGTGAAGTGTGAATTGAAGGCTAAAGGACAAATATAGTAACTACTAAGGTATTAAAATTAATATATAATATTTATGTACAAGTAAAAGTAGTAAATTACTAGTCTTAATGGGTTATCGGTTTACCCAATAACCCAATATTAAAAACCAATACCGAACCGATAACCCAATAATTTTTTTTATAAAACCATTAAAAAACCGTTAACACAATAACCCAATAACAACAAACCAATAACACTTTTATCGGTTCGGTTTATCGGTCGGTTCAGTTTTTGCACACCCCTAGTTGGGTTGTTATCTTGCTCTGTAAAAATAGATGGCCAACTGTCTCAACCTCTTCTCCACACAAATAGCATCTTGAGCACATAGAGAACTACCTCTTCTTGAGATTTTCTTGTGTCAGGATTGCTTCTCTTGTCAGCAACCAAGTAAAACATGCCACCTTGAAAGGGGTTTTTGTTTTCCAGATCTGTTTCCATGGCCAATTTGGTGGTTGTTGGCCACCTTTGTTCAAAAACTTGTATGCTGAGTTCACCTTATACATGCCTTTGCTGTCTTTGTTCCACCATAATCTATCAACCTCGTTCTCTTTGTTTTTTTCCTCATTCTTAATCGTTGGAATGCCCCCTCCCCTCTTAGGTTCTTCTTCCTGTTAAGAATGAAGAAGTTTTGGGGTTAATTTTAGTTTTTATGGGTCAAATATAGGTGCGTTGGCGAAGTAGATAATCAAAATTTGATTAATTTGTTGTTTAGATCCTATAACTTTTTTCAAGGTTGAAACTTTTTAGACTCATTAATGGTGAATGGAAATTTGAAGGAGTGAGGAGGAAGATTGTGAAAACATTAGGCCTATATAACTTTAAAAAATAAAATTTACAAGGATTCACGCACCAAATTTGGGTGAAAGACAAATTTTGCCATGCCAGTCTGAGGGATGCATGAGACACAACTGTGTCAAGTGGAGGTGTCTATCTGGTCACTGGGGTCAGTTAAAGCATCTATCTGGTCATTGTGGACAACTTAAAGGTTCATCTATGTATTTCACCTTTATTTAATAATGAAGTAATGCTTTCATTAAAAGGCATCCAGTGGATCCAAAACTTGTACAAAAACATTGGACTTTTATGTAAAAGCTAAAGTCAACAAATGCTAAAAACTGCAACACATTATTTACATTTGAACATTTCCCAAACTATATACTCCCTCCTTTTCACAGAGTGACCTGGTTTGACTTGACACAAAGTTTTAGAAAATAAAGAAGACTTTTGAATCTTGTGGTCCTAAATTAAAGTTATGTCAAATGTACTAAATTGCCCTTCAATCTTGTTGCTTTAAACATGCCACGTGGAAAGCTGAAATTAAAATGTTACCAAAAAAGGAAAGAGGTCATTATTTTTTAAACAGACTAAAAAGAAAATGAGGTCATTCTTTTTTAAACGGAGGGAGTAAATCTTTTGTATCTATTTAGCTTTATTTAGGCTCATTTCATTTATACATGATCTTTTAATGCAAAATAGGGCTTGACTAAACTAGATTTTTAACTTCCAACTTACTCTTGCATTGACATACGTCTAATAAAAAGACTGGGAAAAAATAATGAGTTATCTTAATCAAAGGATCAAATGAAGACCATTAATTTGGACAACAAGAGTGATTGTCTAAACTAGACTTTTGCAATAATTTCAAAAGATGGTGTCCTCTTAATAAGACATTGCAAATGAAATACAGCGTATAATTCTTTTCGACGAAAGAATAGTTTGCTAGGAAAGTATTATCTGGTTAATAATAAGGTAAGTGCAGGGAGAAATAGTTGGTTTGAGAAGTGGGTGGAACTCAAGATGAAGATCACCATACACTGAAGAGAAATTGCAAGTCACTAAACAAAAGGCCTTTTTCTTAAAAATATTTTGTTATTTTTATTTATCAAAAAAATTGTGCATGTCATTTTTCTTTAAATAGTTAACACATGTTACTTATTAGTATACTAGTGAAATTACCCGCGCTTTGCGCGGTAATTTAATATCATGCAATTTATAAAATAATGTTTAAAACCCATCGTCATTAAAACTAAAACACTATATTGTCTTACATACAAGATTATGTAGTAAAAACATTAATAATGTAAAGGAAAATGAAAATTATTACATCTTATCATTTATCCTTAATAACATAAGCATAAATTAATGACCGTAAAAATACATATCAGGATCTGTAACATAAGCAATGGTGTCAGCGAGTCACTCAACATGAGCAAAGTACACAAATATTTAATTGTGAAGAAGAAGAAGAAGAGGAGGTTCAAAATTTTTGTTGTTTTAAAATGAGAGGAAATCCCTCTATTTATAGACAACAAATGGTAGTTTGAACAAATGTTTATTGTGCCTTATCGGAAAGATAACAACTATTTGGAAAAGTTGCAACCCTTCGGGAAGGTCACAACCTTTCATAAAAGTCGCAACTCTTCATTAAAGTCGCACCTTTTCATAAAAGTCACAACTTTTCATTAAAGTCGCAACTCTTCATTAAAGTCGCAACTTTTCATTAAAGTCGCAACTTTTTATAAAAGTCACAACTTTTCATGAAAGAGGAAGGTTAGTTTTGGAAATAAATAAAATGAAAGGAAATTCTAGTTTGTGGTGGCGCCACGTAGGCGGCTCTAAGGTTCTCTTTTATATATATATATGATATGATATATGATTTATATAAGCACGGACTACACAAAATAGTGTGATCCTATATAATTACAGTGAGTTGTCCAGTCTGATCTCCTATAACCTAGACTCTCATAAGTCATTAGTTATCCTACTTCTTGAGGGTATTCTTGTTCACACTAAAAATAAAAAAAGGACTAATGAATTCATCTTTAACCTCTGAATGGAACTGCTATTGTCCCCAAAACATCTCTGGTTCCTCTCCTTCCAAACTATCCACCAGATGACAGATACAAGCTTGGGACAGTTCCATCTTGTTCTGTGTCCTGACAGGTTCCCATCTCTATTTCAGCAAGCTAGACTTCCTGGACTCTCCTGGTGTGGACAACCTGATTCTCTTAGGCTAATGGAAGTCTTCCATAGTTGATCTGTCACTCTACAGTGTAAAAAGAGATGATCAGTTGTTTCTGTCTCAGCACCACATAAATTACACCTGTGTAGCATAATTGGATTCCCCTCTTGATGAAATTTTCTTGAGTTAAAATTGCCTCTTTTGCCAGTAGCCATGATAAACATGATACTCTGTATGGAACTTTGACTTTCTATATCATCTTCTAAAGCCAACATCCAATCTTGTTGTTCGGCAATTGAAATATCTGTATGCTGAATTAATTAATCTGCCTTGAGCATTTCCATTCCACAACATGCTCTCCTCATTAGTAGAAAAACCTTTGAATTGTTCAAGAGTGTTATAGAACTCTGTTATTCCATCCACTTCACCTATCATTGAGTAATCTTCTGAAACTAAGATGCCATGCTAGGTTATCCCTTACCTTTCTTGATGTTGCTTTGTGCTGCTGGTTCAACATGTACAATTCAGGGTATAGTTGCCATCATATCTATAATCTGGTAGTATTGATGTCAAAGAAGAAAAGAGGAAGGCAAGACTACAACTCAAGCCTCAATACTCCTTTTTTATATCGCTATCTCCATGTTCATGAAAATTTATATTATGTATTGTACCTATATGCTCTACCTCCAAGGTAGGGGACCTAGGGGTAAGGTCTGCCTACACCCTACCCTCCCCAGACCTCAATTTGTGGGATTTGTTGATGTTGTTTGTATTGAGCCTGTAAGTATATGTGCATTTCTAGCTTTGTTTCAGCACCAATCTTGTTCAAAATGATTTTAAGAACTGCCTCCATTTCAGTTTGTTTGTCTTACTTTAGCCCTTCTAAAAAAATGCATCTTCCCTTTTTTTTTTAACTTTTCAGTTCTAACTTTCAACATGGAATGTTTAAGACCTCAAGATTAAAGGACATTTTGGTACATTTGGCATATCTTTAGTTTTTTTGACGAAGAAAAAAAAACCACAAGATTCAAAAGTTTTCTTTTCTTCCTTCACTCTGTGCCAACTCAAAACCAGACAAACAAATAGAAATGGAGTACAATTAAGGCTGGATCTCTGGCAACTTTGAAGATATGAAACAAAGAGGAGTTGTGGGTTTTGGAGGAGAAAAGGTCTCTCATGATATGTTTGAAATTTACAGCTTGTTTGGGAAAGATTAAAAGTAGATTAAAAGTGCACCAAATTGCTAAATAATAAAGACTATTAACATACCATGTAAAAGAACGAGGATGATTTTATATCTCCACTCAAAGATATGGGACCATTTTGGGCTTTCCCTTGTGACTCCAACTTTGGTTATCTATGATTCACCATGTATTTGTAAAAAGAGCAAGTATAAAATTCTCCAGGTGGTTGCTTCATAAATAGCTCTGAAATTCTATCCTGACAAAAATTTGCCATCATATGGATGTTTTGGAAGATGTAGTTTCAAATATTTTGCTATGCTACTTTACTACAGTATGTTTATCTCCTGACCTTCCCTAACCCTCCAAAACTAATGCTGGAAGAGGATAATCAAACCTAAAAGATCAAGGAAGTGAAGGCATCTCCTTCAGATATGCTTCACCAACGTTTTCGTACTTAAATCTTCGTTTCACTTCCTTCCAAATGAAAGAAAGCAAACATTATGTATGAAGACATTTGTGAAGCATCCCTGAATGAGTTTGATGCCAAGGGTGTGGTCTTGTTCTGTGGTCATTCTGGTCTAATTTTGGATTTATAGTCAGGACCTCTTACATCTCATTGCGTGTAGGACTATGTTGTTCCACACTTTGGCTCAAGAGCACGTGCTGATCCTCCTAGGTCAAGGAGGCATCTAATCTTTTTGTACTCTAGGTATGTGCACTGTTTGTATGCATAGGCTTGAGCACACTGAATTAAAATTCACCAAGCTGAGAAGTTTTTTCAAAACTTGCACTACTATTGCCAACTGAATTTGGTTTCATCCTTCTTTGGAAACCTTAAACCTGAGATTAAACTAAAACATTTCACAAATTTGTATCAAGGTAAAAACATGAAAATAATACGTTAGTGGAAAGCTCAAACATGCAATAAACTATAAAGTGGAAAAATCACATACCTGTTGTATATGTTTATTATTTATCCCTAATTTAATACTAGAGGAGTTAAGTACGGTAAATTCCCGTGGTTAAATTGTTCAGCTGGATTTGGAGATCGCGAGGTCCTTAATTGGTACTATAGCCTCTCTACTTTCGTCATGAACTATTCTTTCAGGACTGTTATGTTCAATTTGCCTTTTTAACTGTGACTGAATAACTAGTTCATGTGGTTTTACTCCTTTCTTCTGATGCTTACATATCATTTCAGAGGACCTTCCCATGTTTGCACTTCAAGATGATAGGATAGTTGAAGTAGTAGGGGAACCTGTTGGTGTACACAAGGCAGTTGAGTTAATTGCTTCTCACCTGAGGAAATTTTTGGTTGATCGTGGCATAATCCCAGTATTTGAGATGCAAGTAAGTCTCCTTTTAGTTAAATATTTTCGGACAGGAGCTTAGCATCTTTTAATGGAACTTCTTTGTTGCTTAGATGCAAATGCCACCAAATCCACCTGTGGAACACATGCCACCTCCCCAAACTTGGGGTCCTCCTCCCCAAGCTTTCCCACAAAGCGCTGCTGGAGGTCCGGGATATGGTAATAGTCCTCATTTCATGCCACCATCCAGGCAACACGATAATTATTATCCACCAGCTGACATGCCACCTCCTATGGATAAACAACCTCATCAAGGCATTTCTGCATACGGAAGAGAGGCTCCAATGTCAATGCATTCATCATCCAACAACCCAGCAGCACCGTCTCTTATTACTCAGGTATGCTCTCTTACTATAAAACACAGTGTTTTGGTATTTAAAGAGAAATAACCTGGGACTTTGTGGTAATGGACTTGGTTAAATTTTTATTTGCTGTTCTACATGAGGAAAACAATTCAGCAGTTTTTTTCACTAAGCTTAAGGTTCAATCATGTCAACAAATAACCTCCACCTTCGTCTCTCTTCCCTAACTTTCTGTCATGTGCTAAGAGATGGATGGGGATTACCGAAAAAAAGGGGGGGGGGATTGCTAAACATTATGCATTTCAGTAACAGGTATGAAATGCTTAAATGGTAGGGCAAACCTTTTTGGGGATTCTATTCCCAGGTAGTTCTGCTAACCATGACTAGTGGGACAAGTCCTAAATTTCTTGAGGAATACTCACTGACAGGTTTTTGGAGTTTGAGGATCAACATATCTGATTTTGTATTGTATGACATCGGAGTTCGGACATAAATCTGTTAATTTTGTAATAAGAAATTTTGCATTGTTGGAATTATGTTAGTGTACAAATCACAATATTATATAGTTAAAATTGTTTGAATTTTTTTGAAAAATTCGTAGTTGGGAGAATAGATTTGCCTATTAATATTTTTTTATTAATATTAATGATGAGATCTATTATCTCCTTTTGCATGTCCTCTAAAATTTAATTTAGGTGCAAATATTCTTTTTGTATTTTTTCCATGAAAACTGCTCAATTAGTTACTAGATTTTCTAGGCTTGTTTTTTGCCTGCTCTTGTATTCCCTTATTAAATTGTATATTTATCTGAGAATTAAGAAATCGCTCTTGTGAAATACTTTTAGCTTGCTAAATTTTTGACAATTTTAATGCCAGACATCCTAAGTAAACCTAATATTTGTTTTGATGAAGTGCTAGTAAACAAAAATGGGAAGAAGAAAGATATTCATGTGCTGATTTTTGCTTTATTTGAGTGGCGTAATTTTGCAGATTACACAGCAGATGCAGATCCCTCTGGCCTTTGCTGATGCTGTGATTGGAACAAATGGTGCAAGCATAAGTTACATCCGACGGGTTAGTGGTGCTACTGTTACCATACAGGAAACAAAGGGAGTTCCTGGGGAGATGACTGTTGAAATCAACGGAACTGCTTCTCAAGTCCAAACAGCACAACAATTGATACAGGTAAAATTCTTGCTTGGCTTTTTAATCAATCATTTATATTTACTGATTCATCTTTTGCATTTTTTATTGAACTGATTGCAAAATAATGTGGTTCATGCTACAGTGCTCTACCCAGCCCTTAAGCCTCTTTCCCTTTCAGCTCAAATTTTAGGGTTTTGCTTCTGCCAGAATTACCGTGGCAGTTCAAGCGTATTATATAAATTTTGATAGGGGATCAGATGTAAAAGTCCTTCCTGATGGATTTCCTAGATCTCAAGCTTCTTGCTCATAGAGAACATTTTACTAATAATTCTATTGAAAATCTCAGCTTCTACCCTCAATACCAAACATTGTTTACGTTATCCTTCTCCACTAAGTTTTCGCAATAATAGCTTTGGCCAGAACCACCTCACTCGGCAAGCGATGTTAATGATCTGATTTCCAAAGCATGTTAAGCACCCCATGTGGCGACAAGAAATGTAAAACAAGTTATCTGATTATACATACTTTTTTTGGGTCACTAATCAGATAAAATGGTAGAGAAAAGTCATTTGAATCGAGAAAGTAGGCTGATAGTGTTTTATAGTTGTATGAAATGCTAGAAAAATGAGTCTTTTGTGATTATTTATCTTTGGGCCGGAAGGCGCCAGAGAAAATGTAAAGGAGATGAGCAAAATTTGTGCCTACTCGTGCTTTGTTTTTAAAGATTATTAGCCTTGCTGCAAAGGCAAGTCAATCCAGCTACCCCGATGTTTGGTGGTGGAGCTTGAGAAGTAATGGAGTGTTTCTCTGTGAAATCTTTCTATGAGAAGCTTTTAGTTAGGTAGGAGCATGTTTTCTCATGCAAAAAAAAAAAGGAGCATGTTTTCTCATGTAATGCAATATAGATTCCAAAGGTTTGGAGGAAAGTGTGCTTTTTCACTTGGTTAGCCGCTATAGGGGTGATTTTGACACTAGAAAATCTGAGAAAGTGGAAGGTTGTTTGCATCAGTTGGTGTTATACGTGTAAGGAGATGGGCGAGGACGTGGATCATCTTCTTCTACATTGCGGGTTAACCATGAGGTTATGGTGGGTTATTTTGGTGGTTTGACACTCCATGGGCAATGCTGAAAACTGTGGAAGAGTTGATGTCCTGCTGTAAAATGGGAGGAGGAGAAGATGTAGGGCCTCGAACGTGGTTCCATTTGTTTTAATGTTTGTTTTGAGAGAGATAAGAGAGCTTTTGTAGGAGTGGAGTCAAGTTACTCTCAGTTGAGGAGTAGTCTCCATTCCCTTTGGTTTTCTTTGGTTTAGCTGATTATTATGCTTGTCGTGTTTTATTTGTGTGTTGCAGAATTTCATGGCAGATGCAGGGGCACCTCAGCCACAGACAGGTCCACCAGCTGACCAAGGCTACAACCCGTATGGAGCTCCTCCTCCTTCTATGTATTCATCTGCCCCTTCAAATGCAGGTGTTCCGGGGCAATCTGGGGGATATGGTTCAGTGTATGGCAACAATTATGGCTATTGAACTGGATCTATCTGCCATTTAATTTGGCGAACAAAACTAATAATCCTTTCGCGAGGGTGTTTTGTATTTTGTGTTGTACTCTTCAGTTAGGCCTAGTGACATGGAATTCCTATAGATAGAGTGATGTATGCATTAGGCTCGTTACAATCTTCAATCTACAAAAATGTTTATTTTATTGGTGTCCTGTTTCCTCTCTATCTGCACCTTTCCATGACTAATATGCTAAATCCTCGACACTCACACTTGCTAGGTTAGCTGGGAAATTTCTATATATGCTCAATTGGTAATTTGGCAGTGATACTGACAGCAACAAAGACGTTGAAATTTTTTATTCTGGGCGAGGCACAAGTATGATGTGGCAGACAAGAGTTGTGTGAGGCCCATTTATATTTTGCCAAGTGGATCCCTTTCAGAAAAAGGGGACACTCCCCTTTCTCTCTCTTCCTTTTAACGTTTTTGCCCTATATCTTTTCACACATAAAGTAGGGAAATAGGTACATTGTGGGTCCCACAATATACATTTGGCTGCCACATATATATTGTGGGACCCCTAATGTATCTTTTCTTTTACTTTTCTTTTTACTTGCATTTTCCTTTTTGCTTGTTAATTCTTAGTGTAATTTTTATTTTATTTTTGTTTTAATAAAAAAACTTTGAAACTCACACACGATATCTATTATATATTTTATATCTCTATTACTATTTATTTAAGGGGAAATTAAAGTAATATGTCGAAAAAATTAAATTTACTTATTTTTTTTAGTGAAAATTCATGTAATCAACCCACTGAACTAATTAGTTTATACTTTTCTTTTTTTACGAACTGAATTTTGATTTAAATTTACAATCATTATATAAGTTTTTAGTTTATTATTTTAATATTATTTTTTCTATTCTATATTATTTATTTTATTAAAATAGTTGTTTGAAATTTATTTTTTAGTTTATAAAATCAAGATATAAGTAGTTTTTTTAATCCTAACAATTAATTTTTTTTATTATAAATAAATTTTGTAAAATTGCAAAAATTCTTTTAAGGAATAAATTATTAAAAATATTATTTATATTAATAATTTCTTTAAGTTTTTGAATTTCATGACAATAGTATCAAAACTTATGTAATTGTTTTTCAAGATCATTGATGTTCTTTCCGTTTTAGTTACTTATTGAAGAGTATTTGTGGATTGAAGTGTTTTTGGATTATGAAATTGTTGAGAGAAAAATAAAAGAACATATTAAATTTATACCTTCTTTATTTTTCATATTAATGATCTACTTTTTCTTTTACAAATTTCTTAAGAAAACACAAATAAAATATATACCTTAATTTTTTTTGGTAACTTTATAAATTTTATTTATACTTTCAAAAATAATTAATTGTTATAATAAAATAGAATTTTTTTTAATTAATCATATCTTTGTAAATTAAAAAATAATTTTATATAACTATTTTTAATAATATAAATAATTAATATGAGATGGAAAAACAATATAAAAATGTAATAAATAAAATGAGCCAAGCAAAATTTTTTGAATTTGATATTTTTCATGAATAAAGTTATTTAAGTATGAAAGTATAAAATTTGGAACAAGTGTTTTAGAAAAAAAACCAAAGGAAAAAAAAGAGTAAAAGAAGTAAGAAAGGGCAAAAACGTTAAAAGGAAGAGCGAGAAAGGGGAGTGTCCCCTTTTTCTGAAAGGGATCCACTTGGCAAAATATAAATGGGCCTCACACAACTCTTGTCTGCCGCATCATACTTGTGCCTCGCCCAGAATAAAAATTTTCCAAAGATGTTGATTCATTTAGACTCTTTCTTCTCGACCTATTGAATTTGGATCAAAGAACCTTAAAAGGGAATTAAAATTGAACACTACCATGGCGGTGTCATTAATTTTCATCATAAAACTACCTGCGAACTATTACTATAAATTTTCAGAAACACTTTGGTCTGTTATTTGAGAAAACGAGTTCAAATTCTTTTTTGGGAAAGTATCAGTTCATGACTTCTTTCCATCCACAAACAGTGGTGGATCCAGAAATTTCATTCGGGGGATGCAAAGAATAAAAGTATAAACGTGTAAATAAGTCAACAAAACATAATCCCAAGGAAGTAGTAGTAAATAGTTTATAGATACAAAAAGTTTGTTCCGTTACAAGAAGCTTTTTAGCATGTCTGGATTTTTTTGGGTTTAAATCCACTCTTTTAGCACAAACGTGAAAGATTGGTCCTCAAAGTAAATGAAGAGAAACTAAAAAAAAAACAAGTGTTCACAATGGGATTCCATCCTTGGACGCGAGAGTCAACTTACCACTGCGTTACAACTTGTTTCTTGTTCATGAAGGGGTTCAAGATTAATCTCACACCATTTCCAGATTCTTATTATATTCATAACCTGAATAAAGCATCACAAAACAGGAGACCCCAGTTTCAACCCAACTTTTGTTTGAGGGCAGATAGTTTCATATTTTATAAAGTGATTTGAATGAGTTCAGAAAGAAAGCCAAGATAAATGACAAATGAAAACCTACATTCAAGCTTTGATTGCTCAGATGTTCACTTTATTGGGCCCAAATGTAATGACAGACCTAACAAGCGGAAAACCTCAAACCAGAGAATCTCACACATCTATTATTTCTACTTGGTTGAAGGTGCCTTCTCCAGCTTCCGTTCTGGCTTAAGGAAGGGATCCTGCAAGTTGGCAGTTATATAAAATGTATCAACTGAGAGGACATAAACTCTAAAATTCACCTTTATAGTAATATATGTTAGAAATCAACAGCCAGAAATGCACATTACTTTCTTAGAGAACTTATTAGCAACCAAAAAGGGGAAGATATTGCAGCAAAAAGAAAAAAAAACAGTATATTTTTGATTTATTATCTATCAGTCAGTGCTGTGACACAAAATTCTATCACAGAAAGCAATGATATATGTTATCTTTTGACCACTTGAGATTTTAACTGAGAAGGAACTTGCCACTAGCTTATAGAGTCCTCAACAATAAAACAAAGGCCTAACAATTACCACATCATTTTACCTCGCGAATAAGTCTTTTTCAGAAATTCTGCCTAAAAGACAACCAAAAAGCCAGGTCATTTCAGCAGTTCAGCATTCAATTAAGCATCTACTCTCCCTACCCCCAGGAAAGGGGGAGGGGGTCATCTCCTAAATATTTAATTGCTCCATGACAAGTTCCTTTACTCCCTTTCCGAATTACATCTTCAGACTTCTTCATCAGTATCCTCTCCATACACCACATAAATTTCAAATGGTTATAAATGAGACATACCTTCAACTGCAGGCTGCAGCTTTACAGAGATCAGTATCCAAGTACTTACAACTCACATTTCCAAAAAATTTCAGCATTTGACCAAGTCATGATTTTAGCAGAATAAAAGAAAACACAGGATTTTTTTAATTAGAGAAACCCTACGTATAACCCATGGTGCATCTTGTGTTACATCTCCAACACAGCAGTTACTGTTGGACAGTCTTACGGGGCTAAAAACTAACAATTTTTGCAAGATATTGCTGAATGAAGGTGGAGAACTGAGGAACTCACCATCACTTATCTGTGGGCTATGAAAAGATGTTGACCGTTGATTAACAGTGCCAAAGAACACAACAGTCACAGAAGTAACAAAAAGGAAGAAGAGTAGAATGTATCAGAAAAACGAAAAAAATGTCAGCAGAAAAAATACAGTAGGGGCAAGTGTAGCTCAAGATTGAACAGCCAAAGAAAATGATTTGGGGTTGTTTGGGGGTTGTGTGTGGGAGTGGGGAGGGGAGGCGGCAAGAGAATTATAGAGAGAAGGGAAAAGGTTATTCCAAACTTTACAAGGGATCAGAAGAAAAATGCACATATGGAGATGAAGAAAAAATGGGGACTTTCTCATAATCCTACTATAACTTTAGCTTCTACTCAAGACTTTCTTCCTTTATTCTGTGGCCTTCTACTTGCAGAAATGAACAAATAGTATTTGGTTTAGCAACAGAGATTAGGCGTCTCTTTTATTCCGTCTCTTTATTATACAAATGCCTAATCAAGTAAGACAGCTAGGTATTTTTTTCCAAAAAAATAAGTTAGACACACATCATACATGCACAAAAAGAAATGTTACTTATATTTATATGGCCTAGGCTTAAGCTCCCCATTCTGCTCATCTCCATGGATATATGCTGAAACTTAGCTCAAAAGCTACTTGAACCAGCTCAAGCTCAATCTGGCATCAGTAACATTATCTAGTAGAGGTGAAAAGAATTGGAAAGAGGAAGGAAAATAAATAACAACATTATTCAGTAAGGAGTAAAATTGGAGGGCTGGGTAACTTTTTGGGGTCCTCTAAAGTTGGAGGTATAGAAAGAAGCATACATCTTTCACTTCTCTTCCACTTGTACAAAGCAAGTAGAAGTAAAAATTGAATATTCGGGGATGTCAAACTATGAATGCCTGTCTTGTTACCCACTCCCTCTCATTTGTGGAACTGGAACCAAATGTAGACCATTCACCTCCCAAGGTACCATTGTTTCGTACACTCTTAAGACAAGCTATCAACCAGATGAAAAACCCATCACCCGGTAAATCCCTTCTACAGATTAATGATTTTAGTGATCTGCTTGCAGTTCAGACCCTCCATAGACTTGAACAACTGTACGTGAATCCAAATGAACTGCAAATCAGGAGACCCTGGGTCCCAATTTACCTCCGCAACACCATTCTTTCAAGACTTTCTAGCAGGAAGCTCCCAAAACAATCTCATTATCAATTTCCTTTCCATTTATATACAGAGACCACTCAAGTCAAACTCCGACACCCTTGTGTGAGTAGGTTACATGCGTTTCTTCATTTTTTCTATATGTTGATTGTATAGACATGCATAAGACATGGATATGGGTGCTTCATTCAGATCCCTCAAAATACACAATCACATTCACCTTCTCGGATCAATTAAAATAGTTTTGAGATTAGAGATTAATACGACAAAGCTCAAACCCTATACACCTCTGCCCTTGGATTGAGATTTGGAAACGCAAAATCTTCATTATATGGATTATTCACTCAAAAATATCAAGAAAACCCTAATCTAATCCCGATCTAAAACATTCAACAAAAATCAACGACGAAAGAGCTTCAACAACCATTCCACTAAGGTAAATAACAATCGAACAAACACTAGCAACGCCACTGCACAAGGATGATGCACAAATCCAAAAAGGACGTAGAACAAATACAAAAAAAAAAAGAAGAAGCTAAAATTACATAGAGAGCTTACATTTTGGATAAAGATAAAATTGGCGACGACAATAGTACCGACGATTCCGCCGAGTATAGCAGCAGGACCAGTTAACAAGCTCCATTTTCTGTGAATCATCTTCGATATTCTTCACCTTCTGTTTCTCTTCTCTTCTTTTCTCTCGTAGAAAATTCTGTAATCCGAATTAAAGAAAAACACAGTTCGAGGTACCAAATCAAATGGGCCTCTCAAATTCGGGTTTTCGGTTCTCGATCCTTGTTGTTTTGCCTTCTAATTGGCTACATCCTTATTGTTTTACACTTGACAAATAACGTCCCTGAAGTTTTTCCAACTTAACCAAAAACATCCCTCGGTTAGATTTTCCGTTAAATACTAACATGGTTTCACCTTTCTCACTTCACAACACAACTATAGGTATATATTTGGTATAATACGTAAATGTTTTTTTAAAGGCAGAACACATAAGCAGCACCTTGAACTTGTAAGGATTTTCCGTATAGACACCTTAACAAGGACTCCTTCCTATTGAACATTTAAACCACTCAAAAAGTGTACCTATCAGACACACCTGTCTGACTTGACACTTATCGTGTGAGGCATTCCTTTTGAGCGCGTGAAGTGAGAAAAAAAAAGCTGATGTGTCTGATTGGCACACTTTAACATGCTTAACGGTCAAATTCTTCCCCTTTTATTTATCCAACCCTAGATTCTTCCCTTTTTTTTTATTTCTCATCTCTTTCTTCTCCACATCTCACCATTGTTGTTGCTACATTGGAGATCAAATTGAAAACTTCATGGACACAACTTAATACGGGACGTCGATTTTTTTGCTGCAAAAACACAAAGGTAAGCTTTTTATCATTATTCTAATCTGGTTAAACAAATCGTTGTCAATCGCTAATTATAGTTTAATTATTTTGATAATTTGTGTAGAGAAGAGGTGGATGCGATTATTTTCGATGGTACGATGATGAAATACCGCCTCAAGCAAAACAGATCATATGGGGTCTATTGAAAAGAATCAAATCCTATGAACAAGAGAGGAAGCGGGCAAGAAAAATCAGGATCATATGCGTTATTGCACTCGTGATTTTCGCTATATGGAAATACTTATGTTAGTAGTCTCAGAGTGATTGTATTAGTAGTCTTGTGTTTCTGTTGTACTGATTTTGGAAGAAGGAATGGAGATAAATTGTTCATTAATCTATTATATTGCTTATCTCCGCGACGCGGAGGCATCTTTAAATTCTCATTCGCACACAATTGCTCATCTCCGCGATGCGGGCACTCCACGGAGTGTTCTGCCTCAAACTCGCTTTGTTGAATTAATTTAGAAATCCCTCTCCGCGAGGCGGAGAGGGCACGGAGTGCTCTGCTTGGAATTTGATTTCACGAGCCAAATTATAGTTCCTCTCCGCGTCGCAGGGAGGATACGGAGATGCCTTAAGTGACATTTTTTCAAGCTTCTTCCTTGATTTTCTTCACCTCCAAAGAACAATAACCATACTAAGTGAACAACACAATAACATTAAGCTCCAAACAAGCATGAATGATCGACAAAAAAAATCTTGACATTTCCTTGTAAGAAAATCCACATTTAAACCACTAGTTATAGTGTACATCAAAAACATCACAAAACATATTAAAGTAGTCTCAGTATTGTTTTCTGCTTGCATTACAGATTCAAAATAAAACAACCCCCAACTGTACATCAAAAACACCCAAAAACATATTAAAGTAGTGACACCCTTCTGTTCTTGCTCTTGTTGCACTAGACTTTTGCAGATCCACCCCCTTTGGCCTTACTTATGCGTTGTAATTGTGGAGTGGTGACAACATTTTTACCCTTCCATTTTAGTCCACGAGGCTTATAACCAATATCAATGTTTATTGGTGTTGCACACTTGAAAACAGCTGGAGTAACAACTCTTTCACCCGCTGTACCAGGCTATATACAAGAAACTAAAATAAGTGTATATTATCAAAGTAAATTATAAATAATTGAAGTTGGTTATAATCTTACATTTAATGTTTGTCTGCCACTTATATCATCAGTGTATATGCCAAATCCCACAGTCTTAGGCCTTTTATTTCCTCCTGTTGATGTTGATGCTCCTTTTCTTCCCCTACCTCTTCCTGTTTTTTGCCCTCCTGTAACAGTTGAAGTATCATCACCTCCTCTCCCCATGCCTTTTCCCCTGCCTCTTCCAGCTTGTTGAACTCTTCTAACAATTGAAGTATCATCACATATAGAAGTTGATTGTTGGCATGAGCTGACATGTTGTGATGGTCTCCAGGTTGGTGGCTGGATAGAACCTACAGATTGACCTGAGCTTGGTGGTTGGCTAAAGCTTGTTGGTTGCCTTGAGCTTGGTGGCTGGCTATAACCTGTAGGTTGCCTTGAGCTTTGAGGCTGACTTGAGCTAGTAGGTTGGCTTGAGCTTGCAGGTTGGGTTGACCTTCCAGGACCAGGTTGGGTTGAGTTTCCAGGCTGACCCATTTCAGAAGATTTAATAGTGTAAATAAGAAAAAGAAAAATTGTATTGCATTTTATCTATTTAATTGAAGTAATTAAAGGTTGGCTTGAGTAGTACCACATATTTGCAGGCTTTATTATTGTGGCCTTGTTGATGACACTTGGAGCAAGTCATTTTTACACCTCTCCTGGACAACTTTCCATACTTCTTTCTTGGCTCATCCTTTGAATTTCTTCTGCATTTTGGTGGTCTGTCAGGCATTTGCTTTGGTTCAGGAGGCTCAATCACAATATCACTAGTGTGAGGCCACATTTTCATATTAGGTATTGGCTGGATAAAGTAATTATAAGCCTTCATGAAAGTATCTTTTCTATACCAATGTACAACATGATCTTCAGGGTCTTGGCTAGCATGCTGATATGCCAAAACAGCATGTTGACATGGTATGCCTCTCAACTGCCAGGTTCTACAAGTACATGTCTTCTTTCTTATATCAATAATATGCCTATAATGACCATCTAAAATTTCATATCCAAATTGGCCATTGAACCTAACTTGACAATCTCTAGCATAATCTTTGTTTTCTTCAAGTACTAAACTTGCCATAGGAGAAATGTCTGATATCCAAGTGTCAACAAATTTTCTCATCTCAACATTTCTATCCATTATCTTATGTCTAATTTCTTCTAACATGGTGATAATTGATTTATGTCTAGCAGCTAATATCCAAGAATTAAATGTCTCACACATATTATTCTCAACAATATCACACTTAGCATGCTCCTTAAAATATGTTTTACACCATGTCTTTTTTTCATAATGTAACAAGTCTCCACAGATCTTATTACCAAGTTTATCAAGTTTATCCATTTCATCTTGAAATTTTACCTCAAAACTTGATTTTGCACATCTCCAGAATTGTTTTCTTCTTTCTTCTCCTTTCCAATTCTTCTGCCAATTGGACCAGATGTGTCTAGCACACATCCTCTGCTCACAATCTGGCAGCAACTCCATTATGGCTGCTACAAGACCCTACATATCATAATAATTGAAATTTATGACTAATCATAATTAAATAAATAGGCAATGAGATCAAAATTAAATAAAATTAACATTAAACTAACCTTTTGCATGTCAGACATCACAGTCAATCCATGTCCAGTGCCTAAGTTTAGATCTTGTATCAAGAAGTTGATGAAGAAACTCCAACTATGCTTTGTTTCTTGATCAACAACTGCCCAAGCAATTGGAAACATTTGTTGATTTCCATTCCTACCAATCGCAACTAATAATTCACCCTTGCAAGCACCATTTAGAAAGCATCCATCAAAATCAATGATTTTTCTACATCCTTCCAACCAACCTCTCTTTAATGCATCAAAACAAACATAAAAGTAAACAAATATATTCTTTCCTGGAGTAGATTCCCTATCTGTCCTCACCCAACATGAACTACTAGGATTAGTCTGTTTTATCATGTCTGCATAATCACACAACCTTGCAAACTCCATCTTCCAATCACCCATAAACTCCTTGAGAATCATCAATTTTGCCCGATAACAAAGAGTTCTTCCAACATACAATCATGTCGTCTTCCTCACTAACTCTTGAATTTCCCACAACTTTATATAAGGTTGAGAAACTATTCTGTCCCTAAACTTAATTTGCAATAAAGTTAGATGTACACAACTTGTTTTTTGGTTGTGGTAGGGCACTGATGAACAGGATAGTAATTTTTAACAATAAAGTCACCGGAATCTTTATCTAGACTAGCATACAACAACCATTTGCATTTCTTATGCTGACTTTTAACTCTGACTCTATGTTTTTCATTAGGCCTCAATTTTAATTTGACTTTATATTCCACAGCATATTCTGCCACAACCTTTCTAAATTTTATGGCATTTTCAAATACCATACCAAGCTTAAATATAACAACTACACAATCAGGATCAAATCTAACCTTTTTACTTTTTCTTCTAGCTGGTAAATCAACACCTTCCACAGCTTCAGGATCTAATTCATCCCTACTGTCATCACTATCCAGTTCTGAACTATCAATATATTGCTCATCTCCTCCCAATCTTCCTACATACCTAGCAGCCTTGTTCCTTCCAATGTCTTCAAATCCTCTATCAACACCAGCTACTCCAAGAATTATTTCCTCTGTAGGAACAGGTTTTTTCCTCTGCAATTTGGTTCTCCTTTCATTTCTAAGAGTTCTCAACTCTTCATCAATCTCTGAGTCATCATCATCTGGAATAGCAAACTCTTGTGAATCATCACTAATATCCCAATCTGTTTCAACACCTTCAAGATGATCTAATGCATCATCTACACCAACTTCAACATTGATATTCTCAGATTGGGCCCCTTTATCCACATTAATATTATGTGAGTTTTCTACCTCATCCTCATTAACATTTTCACCAACTGTTGGCCCACAAAGATAACCTGTAGGGACCCCATCTTTAATAACCTCTACCTCATCCACAACATGTTGAACATACAAGTCCAAAAAGTCACCATCACCTAGGTCTTTTATAAGGTTTAGTAAGCTGAAATCATTATCCACTAAGACAAAGTTATTGGTTGTAGGGTCTTTAAAATAAAACCCACCCACAGTAACATACCCCAGATCTCTAGTATAAAAAAGCAATTCCATTAAGAAAAGTGATCTTTATCGATACCTACATATTCCACTTCACTTTCCCCTATGTAAGTGAGACCTCCACCAGATGTGCCTTCCACAAATTTACCACCATGGTGAAAGCGAGTTACTATAATAATATCCATAAGATTCCCTGGAAAAAAATCAAACAAACCCGACAAATTACTGACAAGAAAACCCTAAAAAATTCAAACTTTATTCACATATGTACAAAACATCATCACTATAGTAATATACAAAATAGACGCTATATTTAAAGGGGAAATTGACAGCAATAGTCATAGAGATTCGAAAATGAACTTACTCCACAAGATTGGAACACAAAATCTCCTAGCTTTCTCGAATCAACCCTAAAACACAACAACAAAACTTATTTTCTTGAATCGACCACGCCGTAGGAAGAAAACATGAAGATTATTGATCAACTTTCTTGAATCGACTAGGGATTGAGTGGGAATCGTGAAAGAAATATCTAGGGTTTTTTGGAACACGTTTTGGGGATTTAGAGAAATGACTGAGGGATTGGGTGTGGGGTTGGGTGTTTTGTGATGTGTATTACCACGTAGGATTAGATTTTCCACGTAGGATATGTGTAATGTCACGCGCTCCACCTTAAAACAAATGCCTCACACGATAAGTGCCAAGTCAGACAGGTGTGTCTGATAGGTACACTTTTTGAATGGTTTAAATGTTCAATAGGAAGGAGTCCTTGTTAAGGTGTCTATAAGGAAAATTCTTACAAGTTCAGGGGGGCGCGTATGTGTTCTGCCTTTTTTTAATTTGACCTCAATTGTCATTGATGCCCTCAATGCACAAGTAGTACGTGGAATAATACAACTGATGTAGGAAACAAATTGCACGTAAGATGCCAAGTAGGACGTATGCGTACTTATTAATTTTGTATAAATTTAAGTGTTTATTTGTACACACTTAATTTTAAAGTACCGTTAGTGTAAATCAAAATGTTGGGTTATGTGGGCTTCTATTTCCTCAATGCAAGGCAGTAGGCACTTCGTTAGTTGCCTTTAATTTCTACTAAATTTGTTTTCTTGTCATTTTATAAAACAGGTCAGTGACAACGGTTTATATTTATATATATGGTAACATCCTGTGTGGATATAGTCCTTTATGTATTAACATGGGTTGGTTGAGATCATTCGTTAATTAGAGGTCTCGTGTTCGAATTTTGAGTATGAAAACATATTAGTGAAAACACCACCTCCAAAAGTGGGTCCTGCAACACATTCGAATTAATCGATACCAAACACCGAAGAAAGAAAGAGAAAAGATAGTCCTTTCTATTACTTGGGACAATCACAAAGGAGAAGTCCAATATTTTGAGACACGAAAAATAAGTTCGAGAATGGGATCTCGATTCAAGGAAAAACAATCCAGAAGGAGTACGTAGTAAAAGTTAATGGAAGTGAAAAAGTCATGGTAAAATAGTAAAGAAAGTATGACAAAAACTATCAAGAACAATAATTACAACAAATTAATATGATAATCAAAGTACAAGAAACATAAGATGATAACATAAATCGAAGGACAAGATGCTTACTACCTCCGGGCTCCCACCAACACAAATATTGGAAGACAATACCCACCAATGCATAAGTAAAACGGAAGAAAACATTTCTTTTTTATCTCCGCTACGATTTGAACTTTGGTTAGCTATTTTATTTTTCACTTCATTGAAAACTAGACCACTAACTTGCACCGTGGTCTAGACGCTGTGTGGATAGAAACATAGTTTAACCAATAAAAATGAAAAGAAGAAAAACTAAGCCAAAGAATATAGACAACAAAGAAAACAGCAATACTGCAATGACATGGGACTCTTAACCAATCAAAATCACATAGAAGAAGTGATTATGATTAGACTAGAATGCTTGTCTATGTACAACAAGTTTATAGCCAGGCAGCTACAAAACTGGAAACTTCATTATTTGATACCAGACCTGAGCATCTTTAACCAAACATTTGTTTGGAACATAACAAAATAAGGGACTGCTGCACCTGCACTCAACATATTGTTAGTTTACTATAATATAGCATGCCAATTGAGAAGGGGATGTAAATTGCATAGGGCATCCACAACTTAAGAAATCCAACTTTCATCATATCATATGGTTATAATCACCAAATCTATCCTCTGTTGCAATGTGTTATTAAAACAAATCCAAAAACAGGCATAAGCTTACTAGACTAGTTGATAAAAAGTTATCACTATAGACTGAGAAACTAACTAGAAATGTCCTTCATCAGAATATAAGAGAGATTCTGCACAGGAAAAAGGTATATCACAGACTTCTTCCACAACCAGTGAAGAGTCTGCAGAGAGAACTCAAATTGGAGCTGCACATGTAGTCCTGAAGTGGCCAGTCTGATTGCAGCGGCTGCAATGAACAACTCGCTTCACCCTACCACGGTCTTCTGCTCTAACTCGCTTCTTCCTTGGCCTGCCAGGAGGCCGGAGTGACTTAGGTGGGTTTATAATAACCTCAACAGCTTGGGCAGCATCCGGATCTCCCTCTGTCATCTCCCTCCATAATGATTTATCTGGAATAGGATGAATAGTTTGGGAATATGTCTTCCTGTACGTCGCAACAGTAAAGCAACTCTCAGTAAACCGGTGGACATTTTGCCGGCAAGAAAGTAGTGCTGCCACAGCATGTGCACAGGGTAAACCATACAGTTGCCAGCCCTGACAAAGGCAGCGACGGTTCCGAATATCAACAATATTGGTACCCTCATGAGATATCACCTCAAACTCAGCTTCATTAGCACGAAGAACCTGATAAGTCCGGGCACGCTCAAGAGCATCTGCAACTCGCATCTCCGCTGTAGGCACCAGGATTGATGTCCACTGCATACTGGTTTCTCGTCGTTCATTGAACCAAGTCATAAGCTGCCTCCTGATGCATTCCATCATCTGAATTATTGGAAGTCCAGAGGCCTCTAGAATCCAATTATTCAATTGTTCCACTATGTTAGCAGTCAAATGCCCAAACCTTGTTCCCTCAAAATAAGCTGTGGCCCACAATCGTGGAGGAATCCGCCGAATCCAATATGCAGCATCTTGTGATATTTCCTCAATCTCGAGAATTTTTGCCTCGAATTCAATGATTGTAAGAGCATGTGCGGCTTCCCACAACAGGTTAACAAGCATTGTATTATTGAACTCCTTACGGAAGCTTTCACTCAAATGACGCATGCAAAAACCATGGAAGGCAGTGGGAAAATTTGCTTCAACACCATCTACAATGCCCTTCTGCCTGTCAGACAAGATGGTAAGTCTTGGCATGTTTTCTGTATTGACCTCTAGCAAGGTATGAAGTTCAGAGAGAAACCACATCCAGTTATCATCATTCTCCTCATCAACAACACCAAATGCCAGAGGAAATAGACCGCCATCCCCATCAAAACCAGTAGCTAAAAGCAAAGTACCAAGGTATTTACTTTTCAAGAAGGTCCGGTCAAGCCCAAGAAGAGGGCGACAAGCATTTAGAAAACCAAAAATAGAAGCTTGAAATGATATAAAAAGCCGCTGAAAGCAATTATCAGCAGGGCTTGCATAAACTGATGCTATACTCCCTGGATTGGTCCTTTTAACTTGTTCACAGTACTGAGGAAGAAGGCGATAACCTTCTTCAAAGGAACCGCGCATAGCAGCCATAATTCGTTCCTTTCCACGCCAAGCTTGCTTGTACGAAAGGGTGATTCCATGAACCCGGTGAATTTCTTCAAGGATCTCTTTTGGCTTACAATTTGGGTTTTCCCTAAGCCGTTGCTCCACAGAGTTGGCCACCCACTGAACTGAAGCTTGCTGATGGCCTAGATGTGCGATTCCTCCACATGTATGGCTGTCATGAATTGTTCTTATAGTGAACGTGGGTACACCAGGAAGTTTTGCAGCATGAATGCGCCAAGGGCACTCGTCACTGGCACATTTAGCAGTAAAACGAGTTTTATCAGATTTTATGGTCTGAATCTCGAAGTGAAGAGCAATGGCTGTGTCACGTAAGGCCCTTCGGCAGCTTTTGACATCAGGGAATTCTTGTCCCACATGTAACTCAAAATCAGGTGTTGTTGACATAGTTCGAGCCTGAAGTACATGAGATGACGAAGCAAGAACCATCTGGCCATCATGGAGTTCATATTCATGTGCAGGTTCAACACCCATATCATGACTCTCAACAACAGCTAATTCCAGGTTATCATCAAGTTCTTGGTTTTCCTCGATCCCTAACTCATCGTGTTCAGAGATATCTAACTCATTGTTTTCATTAGGCAACTCCTGGTTTTCATGCTCGGGCTTCTGCTCCATAGGTAAACCATTCTCGTGTTCATACTCATGCTCATGATTCCCCTCATGATCTTGGCTCTGCCCTATACCCATCTCATGCTCATGGTTATGGTTCTGCGCTAGTTCCAGTTCGTGGTTATGGTTCTGCGCTAGTTCCAGTTCGTGGTTATGGTTCTGCGCTAGTTCCAGTTCGTGGTTATGGTTCTGCGCTAGTTCCAGTTCGTGGTTATGGTTCTGCGCTAGTTCCAGTTCGTGGTTATGGTTCTGCGCTAGTTCCAGTTCGTGGTTATGGTTCTGCGCTAGTTCCAGTTCGTGGTTATGGTTCTGCGCTAGTTCCAGTTCGTGGTTATGGTTCTGCGCTAGTTCCAGTTCGTGGTTATGGTTCTGCGCTAGTTCCAGTTCGTGGTTATGGTTCTGCGCTAGTTCCAGTTCGTGGTTATGGTTCTGCGCTAGTTCCAGTTCGTGGTTATGGTTCTGCGCTAGTTCCAGTTCGTGGTTATGGTTCTGCGCTAGTTCCAGTTCGTGGTTATGGTTCTGCGCTAGTTCCAGTTCGTGGTTATGGTTCTGCGCTAGTTCCAGTTCATGGTTATGGTTCTGTGCTAGTTCTAGTTCATGATTATGGTTCTGCGCTAGTTCCAGTTCGTGGTTATGGTTCTGGCTTATGTCCATCGGATGAGTGTGGTCAAACACTATTTCCTGGTTCTCGCCATCAACAGCTAAGTCGTTATTTTGGCCAAGGATCAACTCATGGTTTGCCATTCGTCTTTGCAGAAGTAGCTCTTTCAATCAATAGACTGTTCTATCACACTGAGACATATGTAGACACCAAACTTTGCAACTGTACGAACGAAAGATCAAACTCTTCTCACACTTGATGAAGTACCAACCCTGAGGACAACGAATCAGCTAACGACTAACAAATACCCAAACCTACTTTTTTGCTTCAAGTGACTTCACTAAGACCTGCTTCAAAAAAGCACAGACAATTCATGATTTGGAATATTAAACGAGAGAGAAGTAAACACAATAACCTAAACCCATTATCAGTATTCAAAACCAGAACAAGCAAAACAAAAAAGAACGGGGCAATTCATGGCCAAAACATTAATTGAGACCTACTCCCAACACTATATTACTCCAACGCACTGATCAAACACCATGAAATAGTAGTTAAAAGAACGAATTAAACCAACAAATCTCAATAAAATAAACTATACGAATCCCTAAAACAAACAAAATAGTGAAGGATCGTCCCATCAATCTACTTATCAAAAGGGTAGAAACCACAAACCAAATCAGTAACAGGAACGCAATAAAAACACCAAAAACTCACCATAAATTAAGAGAGGCACCCGAAGTCAAAACACGAAACTCCTTTCAAATCACGATCGATACTTGTCGAACAGCCCTAAAACTCCAAGATTTCACCTTTTCCAATCAAAACACCAGGAAACACAAAACCCATCTCATAATTCACCGGAAATTGATCAAAAACAAACGAAAAGGTGGAGTTTAACGGGTTCCAAGCAAAAGGGTCAGGAAAATTTTGAATATGGCGGGTAAAAGAGGGGTGTTGGGTGATGAAGAGAGAGAGAGAGAGAGAGAGAAGGAGAGAAATGGGAAAATCGGAAAAGAGTAGAAGGGCAAGGAAGGGAAGGAAGGAGGCTGAAGAAATTGAGGGGCAAAAGGGAATTGGGGGTTTGCGATTGTGAGGAATTACAGAAATAAGGGCTAACGCTGAGAACGATGGGTATTTAGGTCATAATGGGACACCCCTTTACTCCTTTTATATTTCGTACTTACCATATTACCCTCTTTTTCTTTATTTATATTTTCTCTATTTTCTTCATTTTGTCCCTACACCCTTTAAAAAGAGACATTATTCATTGATATTTGAACATTTTTTATTTTATTGTTATATTCTCTCCTCCCCCCCCCCCCTTTTATGCTATTTGAGATATTACTATTTAGAATTAGAATATTTATAAAACTCTAGGTTATGATCTAAGTTTCTCATGAAATTTTTTGTTTGTTCGAAAAAGGAATTAGATTAAAATCTAAAAGATACATAAGTTGCAAGAGAAATTTTTTAAATAGTTATTCCAAAGTGGAATGATCGGCAAAAATCTCTATTTTCTTTATCTATGTTAAGGTTTAATTTATATTTATTAAAGTTAAGACATTCGAATTTAAATGCATTATCATCGTAGTTTTTAATTTTCTCTTATAGGAGTAATAAGCTTGTAATTTTTTTCATATTGTGAAGTGGTCTTTATCAGAAAAAGGACAGGTCAAGTGCAATACAAATGAGGCAAGCAAAGGTAACACAAGGGGGAGTTCTTATGGATTCTATATAAGAGATAACATGGGAGATCTATATTGTACGCAGAGGCACAAAGCATGTGAGTCACTACAAACATGGAAGCAGAAATAACAGTTATTTGGAAAGCCTTAAAACACTGCAAAAGGCAAGTTATCAATCAAATCATCTTAGCGACTGACTCTCTAAGTCTTAAGAACATGATTAAGAGGAACTGGGGAATATCTTGTAGTTTAAAAGAAAGAATAGAGGAGATTCAAAAAATGACTATCCTACACATTCAAGTGATGCATATTTTTAGAGAAGCTAATCAACTAGCGATTTCATCACAAACATAGCTATTAATCAAGAGGAAAGACAAGAGTATGTAAGTTTTTATGATATACCAAGTAGGGCAAGAAAGATATTAAACATGGGCAAGCAACAGTTACCAGCAATCAAAAAAGAACAAGGAGTATCACTAGTACTAGCAGTCATTAAGATGATAAACAAACAAAGATCACAGAGTTACATAGCTATTACAATTACAAAGAAGTTTGTGGTGGGACAATGCGCAAAATATCTATGCGAAAACTAACTAGCTTAAGTTATGTCGACCAACAAAAAATGATACAATTATCAGCAAAAAGCGAGATTCATGAAACCAGATCTACATAAACATTTTTTTTTGTATAGCTAGCAGATTGATAGAAAGATACTGGAGAGAAACTTGATTTTCTCTATCTTGGCTTCAACTGCGAAAGAGACACCAATAAAAAAGAATGCAACTTAGTGATAAATGAGAGGATGAAGAACACTTCTATGAATCTATAAAGTTGAGTACACCCAATTATGACTCTCTCTGGATTTCTTACAAACCCATAAACCCCCACCAAATAGTATACCTACATAATAAAACGCTTAAACATGGACATTAGGATGAACTGAAGAAGATGAAAATGGATAAATGGATACCTTTGATATCAAATAATAGTGGTCCTCTCCCCGATGGAGAATATTGATAAACCAAAAGGGGAGGAGAAAAAAGCTTATGTTGGGACTCCATGAAAACGTCTTCAGCGGCGGAGATCAGAGAAGAAAGAGGAAGATGAGGCTGAAGTCCACTTTAAATTGGACCATGTACAAAATATCTATGTGAAAACTAACTAGTTTAAGTTATGTCGGTCAATAAAAAGTGATACAAGTACCAACAAAAAGTGAGTCATGAAACCAGATCTGCATAGACGTCCTTGTGTACAACTAAGAGATTGATAGAAAGATAATGTGGAGCAACTTGGTTTTCTCTATCTTGGCTTCAATTATGAAAGAGACATCAATCAGAAAGAAGGCAACTTAATGATAAATAAAGGGATGAAGAACACTTACATGTATCTACGAAGCTGAATACACATGATTCTGACTCTCTATAGATTTCTCACATACCCATAAACCCCCACCAACTGATATACTTACTGAATAGAAGGCTTAAACAAGAACATTGAGATGAACAGAAAAAGATGAAAACGGAGAAATGGATACCTTTGATAGATGATTAAGTAATAATGGCCCTCTCCGTGATGAAGAATATTGATAACCAGAAGCAAAAAAGGATAAAGCTTGTGTTGGGACTCCATGAAAACAACTTCAGCGGCGGAGATCAGATAAGAAAGAGGAAGATGAGTCTGAAGTCCACTTTAAGAAACCCTACCTTCTAGGACTTTGTTTTTTTCACCTGAAGATCGATCACGTCTGGACCAATCTTATATATATTTGTTTCCTTTCTGACTTTTGTTTAATGGGCTCACCTTTAAGTCCATCGAATTTCCTTATTAATAAAATCGGGCCAATGGTCCAAATTTGATTCTAAAAAAACTTGTAATCTTTCATGAAGGAGTTGCCTACTTTCTTTGAATTTTTCTATGTTAAGATACAAAAATATTGAAAAGACTTAGATAGAAACATACTCACCCCTTGTACATCTTTTGAGTTGAGTACTATTGAATCAAAATGACTTGTTGAGATCCATCTTAAGTTTTACATATTTTTCAATTTTAGCCATAAACCTCTTTTAAAATGTTGATGAAAAATACAATTATAATTGACAAATAGAAAAGGAAAAAAGGCCCAATATATCTTTTAATCTGTAAATAACAATTTACCCTTTGTTTCAAGAGTGTCTTTTTCGTAACTTTATTATTAGTCAAATGGTCCAAATCTATCATTGTTAGCTAACAAAATTCGCTCCCTTTAATTAAAAATATATTTTGATTTACAAGTATCATCAGATTGATTCTATTTTGTAAATACTATTACAATTGATAAGGTCATGTGCTTTCTCTTCCTCGTCCATATTACTCTATAAGAGTTCTTACTTGTTTTATAGATCATTTTACACACCATCATAACGAATAATATTAATAAATATCTCATATCCTAGTAAAAACATAACAAAAATAACTGATAAAATAATTTCTAATTGCAATAGAAAAAACTTTGACATCATTAAATAATTTCCTTTTAATTTTCTCAGTAATTTCGAAGTGTAAAAGAGTCAACCTTAAAGGTAAGAAGAGAACCACAATTAAATATTTATTTCAGTCGATCGTTATATAATAAAATACCTATTCGATGAGTAAGAGCACTATTTCTTCAAACATTAGGAGATATATACATAGATTCTGAACTTGGAGATCTTAATACAATATTTCCATAGTTATATTAATACATTTTAGGAACTTTGAGATATATATTTGACAACTTTCTTTTCATATCTACAATGATTGTCGTCATTGATCACTATTTCAATCATTATTATTAGCCATCACTTATAATCATTACTAACAATAATTGGCACAACTATCAATAATCACTACCGTTAGCTATTAATATCATACACCATAGTCATCACCTAGCTAGCATCACCAACTACCATATCAATATCATTGTTAACCACTACTATCGCCTATCATCAACACTAATATTTTTTTTAAATTCATTTATAAACAAAGATTTTTTATATATACAATTAAACAGATAATTTTGATTGTTCAATATTCAGATCTTAATACAATATTTCATATTAGATTCTCAATGTTATGAATAATAATAATATGACAATTTGGCAACCAAAACCAATAATTCTCCCTCTTTTTTCTTTCTTTTTTCCCCTTTTTCAATAAAACAAAAGATTGAAAAAAGAATTGAAGAATCTTTTTGATTTCATATGTTGTAAAGACATTACTTTTTTTTGGTGTATGACATACTTGTAATAGTTAGATTGGATATGGGCCACCTTTCGGTAGCCGCCCAATTGTAATTCTTGCAATTGGAAAGCCAACTTTCTATGACTATCACTGTCGGTTTCTTCTCTAAATTGTAAATTACAATTTACACCTCTATTCTATTTATAATATACGGAAAAATTACGCGAAATAATAAATATTTATAGTGTATTATTTAATTTAGCTAGAGTTTTAGATATTTATGATTTACGGCTATAATTTTTTTAATTTTGTTGTGAATTTGTATAATTTAGTTCCTAATTGTATAAATTTGTCTATGTTTTGTATATGATTTGTTGATACGTTTGATTTGTATAAGATATGAAAAATACATAATAAATTACCTTGTTTGTATATAGGCAAACGAATATACAAATAGAATTATGAAAAATTCCTAAATGTATAAATATAGAATTTGTATATATTTACATTGTTTGTATATTGGTAAGCGGAATATACAAATAGAAATCATGTTTGTTTATTGACAAGTGAAATATATAACGAAAATACATATAGCAAACGAAACTATAACTATGGAGCATAATTAGGCAAATTGTCGCCAAGGAAGGTTATTAAGTTTAATCTATTTGTTATTTATGAAATTTTCTAATTATATATTGCACTTTTAGATCGATATGGTGCGGTGAATATGACTCTTTCTTTCTTAATTAAAAATCTAAGTTTCGAGTTTTAGTTATGAAAAAAATATTAATAGAGAGCATTTCTCTTGAATACTAGGCCTTATACGATGCACATTTAAATTAATCAAGTCTTAATATAAAATATAGAATACTAAATGGAAACCCCACCAATAAAATAACTAACTAGATACATTCTCCGTTCATGTTTGACTTGACTAAACAAATGATAGGCAAGAAAAGAGAGTAAACTAGCCAAATACAACTAAAAGATGGGTACTAAAATAGAAGTACTGAATACTTGTGGGATGTCTTTGTAATTTATTTTACAGTTGAAAACAACGTGCATTTCTGACAGAAACGTTCAAACTCTATATTTTTAAAAAAGTATATTAATTATAGTAGAATTAAAGTAGGTGCATTAACATAACCATTACATGTACCCCATTTATATATTTTGTGTCTCTGATCTCTCCATATTTTTTTTTGAGACTTTTTGGAATTTTCTTTCAGAGTAAAAAGGACTTTCCTATAAGGTATTTT